ATATATATATATATATATATATATATATATATATATATATATATATATATATATATATATATAAATCGATGCACAAAATGTGCATCGATGTGCATCGATATTTTTGCGACAGCTGAGTAGCGTTTCATCATCACTGTTCCCAGCATATATTCATTTGAAGTAAATTTATCTAACAACGTTTGAATGTGTATATTTGTCTTCACATTCGTATTTCAAGAAGGGACCATTTATAGAATATCAGAATAGCAATCTTTGTTTTTATAAAATTATTTTAATTGTATTAAAAACAAATGTATTGATATTTCATATCACAAGATGAGGATCGAGCACGCCATACCATGTACCTTGGAAAGTTTTCACCGCTACTTTAGAGGGGTTATAATTTTCGCTGTCCTCATAAATCGCCTCAAAGACGCATCCAAAGTGTCCTGAAACAAACAAGAAAACAAACAAGTAAATAACAAACATTTGCAGTGCACACTATACTAAACGCAACATTCACTCTAAATCAGACCAGAAGCAGGGTGCACATATTAAATCCTTTGCTCGTGAGCATATGTTGCTTTGGCAGGATTGTCGAGTAAATGGGAAAACTTAATTAAGGCTAGATAGTGAGTTTTAAACAAGAGTTAACATGAACATGCATGTTACACAATTAACAATTACCCACCTGTGCCTAATAACTTCCCAAGTTTAATCCTCTCTCTGCTCAAAAGTACGGGCTTTAAAGCAGCTTTTATGTCGTCATCCTTTACCAGCGCCAAAGCATCATCTGAAGTTTTGACAGCATGTGGCGGTGTGATCTGACTGCTTAAATCAAGGTACTCCGTGGCATTGGAGCCATTGTGACAGCTAGTTGTGGGTTTTGCACGTCTTTTATAGACTATGACTCCGGTACCGATTCCAATGACAGACAGAATAGCAATAGCGACAATTACACCTGCCACCCAGCTAAAACTTACTGGAAGATCCCCATAGTTAAGATATCCCACTCGGTACTCCAAATTACCCATATGTATCTAGAAAGAAAATATACGTTTTCCAGTAACATACATGTGTGAAATATGTTCACCGTGACCTAATTGATAGCAAATTACGAAGTGGAGCTTTTGAAAGAGCAGTTTTCTTTACCTCGATCCAAACAAGCAAGAGGCAGACAATACTTTGTACCATTCATAAAAAGTGGGCATGCATTTACAAACAACGGAATGACATACTTACTGTCACCACTTTATCTCCGTAGTCAAAATATGGCGGTGTGCAGATGAGAACGCTGTGAGTCATAGCAGTGACGTTACAGTTCTTTCCATCAATCAGAACAATCACGTCTGCTTCACTTGCGGCAAGGTTGAGATATTTTCCCTGTTGAATGAAAGTGTTTTTTATTAAAGTATGTAATAATCTTACAATGGACGTTTTTATTGTGGTTCATAAAATGGGGTTATAAATTACGCAGAGGTTGTAGAAAAACGTCAGTGTGTTTTATAATATTAATGTATTCATGTTCCATTTATTAAGTATTTATTTCCATTATTTTTATTGCGGAAATAACCATATTTTATACGGTTATTTCCGCCATAATTTATTTATTTAGTTATTTTTGGTTTTGAAACAAATTTGCTAAATGCCGTGTAACCGACTTTAGTAAAGATAGACTCACACGTATTACGAAGTTGGTGTTACTTTGATATTTCACACTAGAGCCGTCGCTGGTCAAATTCTGGAACAACGGGTCCACAACATATTGAAGAGTTGAAGCTATGTTGGTTAAATTCCGCACTGCTACAACTCCGTCCATTATAAAGCCGATCTCCACGGCATCATTGGTGCCCAACTGTCTCCTTAACCGCAGGGAACCTAAAATGACGGGGACCGATGGGGTAATCCTGGCTGGTGCGCTGGGCGATGGACATGTTAATATGGAGCTGGGCATTTCCAGTTGATGGAGGCAAGTCTGTCAAGAAGACGAAAATAGTTGATTGTCATGTATGCTCGCCATGTGGACAATAAAAAATAGTTTAGTGGGCAACTCCTACTTCTGGTAAAAGACAAATTACCCCTCACCATAAGCGAAAATACACACTAACTTACACGGTACACATTATACCTTACAACCCACCACTGAGAGAGAGAGAAAAAAGTATAAATACTCGCCAAATTAAAAATTAATCGCCTTCTACGTACCGTTGGGTGCGACCTTTCTTTTCCATTCCATACAAACATCTTTGGCTGTTGAATCGAGTCAAAATTCTTCCCAATGACTGTCAAATTCCGTCCTCCGCTAAATTATAAAAGAATACTTATTGATAACTTATATTATTCCAAGTAGCAATATCATTATACTACATATCAAAATAAATAATAAAATAAAATAAAATAAAAAAGAGAGAGAAAACATTAAGTGTACTCAAAACGCCTCGATAGCATACAAGATTGGCTGGAGTTAAATGTTAATCAATAAATTAGTTCAGCTTGGAGCATCATTACAAAAATATGAAGTTCTTATTACATACGGGCATCATGTACGTTACCTGGCAAAACTGGTCAGTGGCATTATTTTCTCCACCACAGGGTCTTCAGTGTATGTGAAGGGGTCCTGGTCCAGCATTCTTACACTGCCGTCAAAGAACATCCTGACAGAGGTCACGGCCTTTGGCCTACTGACCCCTGGAGTGATACAAATGGTGGAATGGCTACCAATGGCACTTCTGGAATTGTACGCATTTAAACAATTTCACTATTTTAATGACAATCTAATTAGACTAAATAACTATGGTTGCATGTCTTGTAACTTCTCTAGTTTGGATAATATTTTATAAACTTTTTCAAAATATATTGACTTTTCATTGTTTGTAAATGTTTCTTAGAGAGTTGGCAACTATAACTACCCAAAAATTAATATCGTCTGACGCCTGCAACCTGGCATATCCTTACCTATCTACAACACAAGGCAACATTTCCTCCCCCAGGGTTAGGCTGATATTGTCCAGGTTGCCAGCATTCAGATCTTTCCCTCGCACAGTCAGCCTGGTGCCACCAGACATGGGGCCTTTCACCGGGAACACTGCCTCCAGCTTGGGGTCCTGAAAGGGGCAATTAAAGAGATAACAGCTTTTATTTTGGTGTGAAATGTGTCATTAAACGGATTTCCCCGGGGGGGTAAACGACGATGCCCCCATACTCAGCAATGAACCCGCTCCAACATTCAAAGTAAGTAAATTGTTTCAAGTGTTTATATTTTATAACCCATTAAGAGCTTATTACGGAGAGTAGTCATCTATGAAGGTCTACGTGACAGATGGCAGAGAAAGATTTCAGAATTATTGCAATAACCGCCGCTTTGGTGGTTAAATGGAACTTATTAAATTTCAATGTGTTGTCCACAATGTATTATGTGGAGTTTTAAATCTGATATAACGAGTTGTTATCCATTTCAAAACACATATTATCTTATCACACCATAATCAATTATGAATGGGCAAAGTCTCATCAAAATGTTCCCATTTAATATTATGTGCTAAATCTAATATTCTTCCACGCCACTTGGCATTCCACATTCCCATTGGTTTAGATATATAGATGTATTTCAGGACACTAACTCACCACATATCTGAAGTTTTTGGAGTAGTTGTACACCCTGCCTAAACCCTGGACCTGGACCTCTATGGAACCATTTCTGGGAAAACTGCCTGGAGCTTCTGCTGCCGTACACACAATTCTAGGATCAGACATGATTTTAGGTACTAACAAAATGAAAGAAATAGCTCCTTGTTCTTACGATCTTATGGGATCTGCTGGACGCATAAGAAAAATGCCCAAAAAGGATTTCCATTTTAAATCGAAACAATCACATCTTATTACTAAAACCTTACAATTCTAACTGTTACAGTGGCCATTTTAGCTCCGTTCAAAAAATTTTCCTAGAAACCAATATTAAATGTCCATAAAATAGTCACACATTCCTCTTTTTAACTGGAGTAGATTGCGGACCATAATACCCATAAATACTGGAATCGTTCAGGTTTAGACACAAGTAGTTAGCGTCAACATACTTTGCTATTCCCACTGTTCCTTACCTCTTTGAGACCACATAATCTTCTACAACAGGTCTACAGGCCACCCCAGCCAGTCTAACAGTGGGTATACTGGCATCAGAGGTGCCTAAATTTGTGCCATTGATGGTGACCTTGGTGTGACCTTCAACTGGGGCACTCAAGGGTGACACCTGATAGATAATGGTTGAATTGTTAAAAGTTGTCATTCTCTAGTATACATATATCTTTTAATTTTTTTCCATTCCCCTATTATCTTTCATATGTATAATAATAGTTTGTTTTTTAGAAATCAATGCGTTTGTCTAAAAATGTGGCTTACCATAATGATAAGCAAATTCACATGACTCTTAACATTACATTTACAATACCTTACAGCACTCACCCAGTTAATGATGACATCAGGACAAGTGCTCTCAACTGGCACACTGCATGTTGGGCGATACTTGCACGTCCCTCCACAGAAAGCACAACCAAACTTTGTATCCACACCACCAATACACGTGCCACATGTGGTGCCCATGACGTCACACTTGTACAGGATGGCTGAAAATATTGAAAATATTTCAGTGTTGTGTTTTACCAAATAATCGATACATGTTCAACATGAATACATGTATGCGTATCCATAATGTGTGTAAGTGTTACAAATAGTAGTTCATATGCATGCATTTTAGGAGAACTCTTATTATTGAGGAGATTTTGGGCGTTATTCTGTTTTTTACCAAAATGGAATAATAATAATAATTTTTTTATTAGACGATCGGTTGAATGAAACAATGACTATATTTTGTGCGCTTATGAAGAGGGCATTTTATCCCATTGTAAAAATGAGACCATTCCTTTTGTAACTCGTGCGTAAAAATATGCACCTTACAGGAAAAAAAAGACGGGAACGTACACATATACATGTAAAAATAGCAATACACTTACCGCTCACTTGAGAGCCGATGGGTTGGTCTATCACATGGTTATTATTCCAGATTACTTGGATTTCATGCCTCTCCTGGCCTGTGATGTCTGTGTACACATACTGAGATATGAGAAGAACAAGCAGCCAATTATAATGGTATTAATATAGATCTAAATATATAAGGCATTCCTGAAGTTGCTAAAATTCTACATAGAATGCATAAGTTGGGGTTTGGATACGGTCACTTGCCTTACAAAATCAGTATTTTGAGGGCACAAATATTCGATCTGTTATTCTATCAGCTACTGTAAAATAGCGTGACATTTAAAAGATTATATATCATATATACAGTAAGTGTATATGCCTTGCATCATATCTACTCACAGCGTGGCTCTGGCAGTCTATGGCACTATCATTCTGTCTGATAGCTGGGACTGTGTTAGTGCCTATCTTACACTGATAATCACCTTGGCCAGCCTGGAATATCATTGAGGTTAGGTTGAGAATAACCAAAATGATTGCAGAGTACAGCAAAATGTGAGGCTTCATTCATATTTTCCTAATCAAATTTTGAGTTCGAAGGTCTCATTTATGTCAGCCTTGTCATAGACACTGACTTGGAACTGAACTCTTGCTTTATGGTAAGAATGAAAAATCACAGTTTACCTTCCCATGAATCTAAGGTACAGTATGTATATCGCGAAAATGAATTAAAACCTAAGTTCTGTCTTAAATGCAAGCTCCGTCTTAACATCTGAAGAGCGCAGTCCCACATCTCGCAGAGTCTCGTGTCATTGTCGTGGTTTCCCACTCGCACATGAGGATCGTGGATTTCAACCGCCGTCATTATTTGTTCTTTTTATGAGTAAGTTTCTTTCTTTTACTAAATTTATTAACATTCCTTACTTTAAACTGTTTTTGTAGATATAGATAGATTCTGTTGACGTAGTAGTTATTTGTCTGAAGATTGGAATTAGGAATTTTTCTGTTACACGTGTGTCTGCATGGCATTTCATGGAGGCCGCCATGTTAAATTTGTAAGAGACAGCTGCGTGTTCCTTTTGGTGTGTATTCAGTTAGTTTTTCGGTGGTTTTTATGAGCGAATTGTTAACTGATTTTTCTACTTGCGTAAATGATTTTCTGGTAGGCAGTAGATTCTTCTAGTTTGTTATCTTCTGGTAATTTTATGTACGGATTTAAATATTACATAAACGACTCTTAAGTTGGGTCGGTACCTCAATGAAGAGTGGCCGATTTATACGTTGTTTCGTATCATTTTGCCCAGATTTAGAGTCGGGATGATCTATTATGGACATCT